TGGTTATTTTAGGTATTAATTATTATATAATATAAATAATAGAATATAATGGAGTAATTAATATATAAAAATATATGAAAAATATAATGATAAGTAATATAAGATATATAAAAAATAATAATAAAAAATCAATTAAAGAATCAAAATGTATTTAACTAATTCGGATTGGTGAACGACAATTGATTTCAAACAGAAATTGGGATCCCATTAGAATGATGGGAGAGTTTCAATTTAGTGACCTAACACGTTTCAAATAATTATTCCAAATAATAAAGTCAACAGAATTGATTAATATACATAATGAAATATATAGCAACAAATATAAAATAATAAAAAAATATGAGGAAAATAATAATAAAATGCATGAGAATTTTTTTTAGTGAAGGACAATTAGGACTCCACCAGCTGAGAGGATTTTGATTTTTTGTCCTAGTATCTCCTAATTCAAGTAAATATTCCAAATAAAGACTTATAAAGAATATATCAACAAATAAAAGTGAACGAAAATTTAATTATTTAATCCTAATTTAAAAGATTATAAAATTATTACGATAACATAAGTATAATAATCTTGTAGATATAAAAATAATTGCTTAACTCATTATGCATAATTACATGCATCACTTGTCATTCCACACATTCCATTGATATATTTTGTAAATGAATGATAGTCCCGATGATGGAATTTTCTTGGAAAATTCCTAAAGATAAGTTTTCTTGAAGTAAGTAAGTATTCTTAAGTTTCACCAGAAAGATGGGAGGACTTGAGTAATGCTTTCAATCAAAAGTTTTCATTTGTTATTTAATAAAATTGGAATTTGCTTCATCCATTTCATGATTACATCATGTGCATAAAAAATATTAATATGGGATATGAATGATAATCTTTAATGATGGGACTCTCTCGGGAATCTTGTAAAGATAAGCTTTCTCGAAATATTCTTTAAGTGAGAAAAATTTTTAGATTCCATTGGAAGGATGGGAGAGTTTAAGAGAGTTTTCCAATATAAAGGTTTCATTCACGTGTCAACAAAAATGAAGATAATAATTAAAATAAAAAATATATAAAAAATTTAAACAGTAAATAGTGATTAAAGAAAATATTATAAAAATCAATAATTAAGCTTAAAATAAGATAGCACATGATTAATTAGTACAGTTCTTTAAACGGGCGTCATAGGGGTGCTAACACTTAGGGATGGCAATGGGTACCCTATTACAGGGCACCTGCGGATTCTCGACTCTGTTATGCAAGGTTAATGTATCCTATAACAAGGTTTAGGATGGGTTCCGATAGTGATTTTACTACCCGAATCAGGTTCAGGTACCACCTCTTGGGTACCCGTTACCCAAGCTCGATTCCCATTTATAAATATTTTAGTATTATTTTAATAATTAAATTAAAAATACACAATTTTTACCAACTGTACAAGCAATTCTTTTTGTTAAAAACTAACAAATATATGAAAAGTATAGTTATTCTAATTATTAATACGATGATATTAATATATTTAAATTAAAAAATTATTAGATTGCGAATCATGTTTAAATAATATAAATATCATATCATATTATAAAAGAATATAATTACTATTTTATATATATATATATACTTTTAACATAAATATATTTACTTTTTATTTTGTGTTTTAACATTACAAAAATTATGACTTATA